TTGAAGTCTTTTCAGTTCAGCAGAGGTTCTTTAAGGAAATTCCAAGCAAATTTCTAGGACATGACTAGAAACATATGACAAGCTTTACTTGATTATATTTTTATCATAAATGCATTGCTCTACTAACACAAGACAGTGCAGCTTTGAGGGGAATTACATAGAATATTGCTCTAAAACTGTTCAGTTAAACTGAGACAAACAGTACTCCTACAAGTTTGTTGACTCCTTCAGCACCTCAAACTTTGTTTTTGAATTTTTTGAACAGATGAATCAGTATTCAGAAGAGCTCCTTAGAAAAAAATAAGGATCAGGGAGTTCTCAATTGTTTTGTTTAAAAATTTAGAGAGGAACAAGAAAGAAAACCTAGGAAATGCACTAAGATAAAAACAGATCTATTTTTGATACTGATTTAATTCAAATCAGATAATTTAACTGATTTCCAGACAATTAAATTTAGAATTTTCTCCCTTCATATTCTCCAGAGGTAAAATGTCCTGCCACAGAATTTCTATTAAAAACAGAACTTAGATATAAGTGGACCCAAAAAATGTGTGTTGATGCAGCACAAGACAGCACTTTCTCATAGCTGGTGAAATTCATGAGAAGCATTTGGAGGTGCTGAATACAGCAAACAAAGGCGATGCAAAAGCTTCCGGCAAGTATCTCCAGCAAAGAATGAGAGCTCAGTGGCAAACACCACACAGAGGAGCTGTCATGTAAATACCTCACACAGCATAAGTGCCAAAAATGAATACCAGTGGCTGGCGGCTGGTTCAGAAGGAAAATAAGGATCACATCATCTAGTCTGTTTAGTCCTCTGAATAAACCCAAACTTCATCAAGACCAGAGAAGGCAGGTCCCAGAGACAAGGAACACTGCTTGCCCCCGAGTCTTCTTTCTTTATTTCAATGCCACCTATAAGCAGCATCTTCTGAAAAATACAGAAGTGCCTTTGCTGTTTCAGTGGGCAGGCTTGATGTCTCTCTTGTGAACTCCTTTGAATTTGAAGAGATGTACCACTAAAACTCAGTTCTTCAAGTAGCCCAAGGGATATCAAAATGAACGTAAAATCAGAACTCTAAACTGGTGAAAATTTGAGCTTTATGCTAATTATGGAAACCAACATGAGAAGCAAACTGCATAATCAGTCTTCAGAGGATTTAAAAACGCTGCAAGCAGGCTCTACTATCATCTCAGGTCAAACGTAAAATATAAATGTGTAGCCTTCTAGTTTTAATCCTAGCTCCACCACTGACTTTGTGAGCCATCCCAGATTGCCCCTGTTTTCCCTTCCAGATTTTCTCCTTTCTCCCTTTAAATTCTAAGCTCACCTGAGTGCTTCTGAACATGTAACTCAAAAAGAAGTTCACATTGGTCTTTGGTTGACTTCCAAAAGTACTGTGTTCTCTCTCCCACTCCCCTCTTTTTCTCTGGATTAACTAAATATTTTGAAAAGAAAGCATAAAAATTCCAGCAAACAAAAATGATTTCCATATGATATCCACAGAATCTGAAAAATCTGCATTTCCTTAAGTCTCACACTCACACACAAGATCTTCTTGAAGATCACCACTGATGACTGATCAGGTGGTGGCTTTAGTTTCATTCCCTCCAATCCTTGCCATATTTCTCTTATCCTTTATGCTAAATGGGCAGAGTCCTCATCATGCAGCTAACAAATTACTTAAACTCACTTCTTTCAGCCCTGCAGTGCAAGAGAAAATCAGCCGAGAATGGCAGAGGTCTGCTCCTAACAGACATAAGCACACACCAAGTCCCACCTTCTCTAAGTGACTTGATGTAGACTTCCTGGCTGCACACTCATTAGCTCAATCTTACTTATGCAGCACACAGGAAATAATAAAGTGCCCCATGAAGAAGCATGTAGGGCCATACATTTCAAACAGAGACATCTTCCATTTCTCCACTGGTAGGCACATGGAGAAGGGGACTTGAGTGGGCGCTATGCCTGATACCTTCTCACAGTGAAGCCAAGAAGTAATGCTGAGCCATCCTCACATCCTGAGGACAGGTGAAGAGGCACTCGGAAGCACAAGAGTCCTTCACCAACGTGTAATCACACCTCAAATGCTTTCGTTCTTAGAACATGACTCTATTTGACTTTTTGTTTTAATCCAAATCTGCACATGCAGGACACAGTTATAAAAATAAAAGTCTCTGTCACACAAGCAAATGCTGTTTTTGCAGAAGGCCTCCATGGTCTCTGAACTGCTATCTCAGTGAAAGGCAAACGAGCCTGGAGGAAGGGGGTGGGGGGTGTGGGGGGGGAAGAGCGAGGAATTATACATATTCTAACGATGTCTTCATTTCCCAGCAGCTCTACAACAAAAAGCTCTTTGGTGCTGACTCTGACCTCACTACAAATAGTAGCAGAAAACATGTCTCATTGTAAGCGCTTGCATGGTTTTCCTCTGCAAACATGCTTTCCTTTGTATTTTACTGTATTTTTAAGTACATGAGTGCACAGACCACCCACAGTATCAGGTAGCCTTGCATGGGAAAGGTGAGAGATGAGACTAGGATTGCTTCCTTATACGAATATAAATTAATCTATCTATCTGATCCACATATGCTAGTGAGCCACAGCTCATCCTCAGTCAGTTCATGTCCCTGACAGGCTAACTTGTCCCAAGCTCTCCAGAAATCATGGAGATGAAAGAGCCAAGGCTATGGTGTAGGAATTACAGGACTGGAGAGTTAAAAAGGGATTTGCAAATCAAGTAGTAATGCCTGCCTTAGCTTAATTTAATTTATCCTATTCCACTGCTGCTCCCCCTCATAGCAGCAAATCAGTATTGCACACAGATGCAGTGATGGTGCAAGATACTACCTGATCTCTACTGTAGCACCTGGTTAAAAATATGCTCAGTATCCTTTGGGCTCTGACCTGCATACACTGAAACAAAGATAGGGATGAGTTTACAGATGAACACAGGATCTGGCAGTGAGCACACTAAGTCATTTCTCTGCTCTCCTTCTGCACCTTATCAGTGACATTTCCCTAACAGCACAAGATGCAGCACCAGGCTCACTGCATTTCAACTCCCCAAGGAAATGCGCTCAGATCCTCCCAGGGATTACACTTTATCTGGCAAGCACCAGAGTAAAGAGTGAAAGCATTAGTTCATTTTGCACTTTCATTCACAACCACAGCCACTCCAACTCAACAGCAGAGAAGATAACAGATAAATGGAAGAATTTCTCCAGAATCTCTTAAAAAAACCCTCCTTTGTGTTTACTGATTATTTCAATAGCATTTGTTACTATGCAACATTACTGCAAGGAATATTTTGAAAATGCATTCACTCTTAATCAGGCACAGCCTCTTTCTTCCCTACACACATGCAGCCCTTTAAGAAATTTCTAATCCCCTTCATAGCACAACCTGCATTTCTTATTCCCTGGCAAAGAAAAACAGACACCGAGCTACTCCACTCTCCATTTTATACTTTCAGATCAGTTTGGCAATCCGGAGCTGGGGAGGGGGAAAGGGAGGAGAGGGAAATGTGCTGCTACGCTTTTCCCTGTGCTATTGCTGTAAGAAAACATGATGACGGGATTACAACTAACTATTGAACTAAAGGGAAGTGTTCCACCTAGAGACCGTCTTCACCAGGCAAGGCAACGGGCAGGTTACCTGCAAAC